TCACCATTGTCATTGACTCTACTGTCACCATTGACTCTACTGTCACCATTGTCTCTACTGTCACCATTGTCTCTACTGTCACCATTGTCATTGACTCTACTGTCACCATTGTCATTGACTCTACTGTCACCATTGTCATTGACTCTACTGTCACCATTGTCATTGACTCTTCTGTTACCATTGACTCTACTGTTACCATTGACTCTACTGGTACCATTGACTCTACTGTTACCATTGACTCTACTGTTACCATTGACTCTACTGTCACCATTGTCTCTACTGTCACCATTGACTCTACTGTCACCATTGACTCTACTGTTACCATTGACTCTACTGTCACCATTGTCTCTACTGTCACCATTGACTCTACTGTTACCATTGTCATTGACTCTACTGTTACATGAAATTTTTAATTATTGCTGCAATGGAAGAAAAAAAAGAAATGTGAGGCAGCGTGTTGGAATCAGGCGCTCGTCAAAATGATCGAAGTGAAGAAACTTGCATTTTTCCACAGGTTTGTGAATTTTTGTCAATTTTTTGCTTTATGGCTGAACACCTTTCATGCCCATTAAAGAACTCATTTCTGTGTGGATTTTTCTGAAAAACGTTGATTAAAAGCACAAAAACACATAAAATGTAAATTTTCAGTTACCACCGACACTAAAGCTAAAGAAATAACTAATCTTTGGCGGCCATTTTCTCACTAATTTTACCTCTGAAAACAGATAACCCCACCTCTTTCATTCGCAAATATCTCGACTTGTATTCAAGTTAAATGGATATTTTTTTCATCCAAATAAAGACAAGTGAACAAGCTTTAGGATGATCGAAATAACTCTACATGCCCAAGAATTGACGAGAGCCTGATTCCACCACGTTGCCTCTCAAATGGTTTATGTTTTATCACCCCTGTCTACACAGTGAAGTAATTTTACAGGCAGGACCTCTGAGTTTAACGTCCATCCCTGAAAGGGCCAAACCAAGTGGGAAGTTCTTGTAAAGTACCTTTTCCAAGGACACAACGTCGGACTGAGCTGAGGCTCGAACCCCGGAACCCGCTATCTCACGATTATGTAGTCCGGTACCCTAACCACTTGGCTGCTCAATTCCTGCGTTGTAGAAAGTTTCAGTTATATGAGTTCATAAATAATACGTCAAGTTCGAACGTCTTCCATTTTCTAACGTTTGTAGTCAGTCGTCCACTTCTGAACATGTTCAAACCAACATTCTCAGCTTGCCAGTCAGACGGTGACGTACACACTTTGGACAGGACAGATAAGCTGTGTATTTTATTTTTATTTTTTGGTAAAGTGTTTTACGGCGCTCACAACTGCATAAGGTCATATGAGGGCGCGGGACTCACC